GACATCATTTTTGCGCAGTGGTTTAACATCAAGCATTCTGAATGAGCCTTTGGGGTTAGAATCCGTTCACGGAAACGAAATCTGCAAGACTTTTAGAATTCTCTTTAGAATTTTGACCCTATTACCCTCAATTTAGCTTCACTGTAGAGACTTTGCGATACTTCATGACATCAAACGAAATTCCAGTTGTAAGAGTTTCACGAATGACGTCGGGATTCCATTCCTACTAAGTATCCAAAACAAAAGCAAAATTTTATCAACCATCTCTAAGAGATCAAAGCATGCAGTTACCAAACAGAACTCAACTTAAGGCAAATGTATGGTGGGGCCTGAATCTGCATGTAGCTAAAATTTTATTTAACACCATAATAAACAAAACTTCCTAAGTTGGACTTACAGCACTCTCATTGGGGCCATACCTATGAATGAATGCAAACAGAGAATATTAGCCTTAGTTCAATGACAATTTATGCATAACGCATGGATTTCATACAATGTCATGTGCTGCAACATCTTAGCCGGAACAACGTTTCTACATCTACAAACAGTAGATGAAGTTATTTATCCAACATTTGTGCAGTTAAAATATAACATATCCTTTAATAAATCCTCTTTATAAAATTGAAGAATACGAAAGGGTTCCACCTTCATGCAACTGTCTACACTATTGTCCTGCATAGAAGGATAACATTTAACAAGAAACAGAAGTGTCTATCAACAACAAAACCACGGTACTTACAGACAGCTCTAAAATAGATGGAAAAGTTAGATGTACAGTCTACATCCCTATTTAAAAGAACCTCAACAATTGCATAAAATGGCAAGGATACCTAAACAAATAACAGCATTTATCATGGAGAACTTTCGGATATAAAAGCAGCATTGAAAATAGCAAATGACCAGAAAATTCCCCATATCATAATTAAATCAGACAGCCAAGGTGGCAATATTATCACTTCGTTAACCAGTCAATAACTCTAACATTACGTTCGAAATTAATCAATATTGAAAATCATCCAAAATACAAAGTTTACACTCATGTTGATAAAGGCTACAGCAAGGACACAGGTAACGACCCTGCAAATGTATTAGCAAAACGCACAAATGGTATAGTGGTTAGGGGAGGTAAACCGGGGAATTGGCTTCCGACCCAGGTATAGATATATCCATGCAGAATTGGTTACCAACTCGGCGGGAGTCAACCACTAGCTACCAGGCCTCAGCCCTGGGCAGCCGTGGCTGAGCAGACGACATTTTTAAAATGCAAAAAAGATATATACATATGCATACAAAGTACTTGAAGAAGAGTACAAAAATGTACAATGAAATATATACATGTGCATACAAGGCACTTGAAGAAGAGTACAACAATGTACAAAGAAATATATACATGTGAATACAAGGCACTTGAAGAAGAGTACAATCAAAATATATGTATATACATATAAATACAAACTCATATACAGATATATAGTACACACTTACATACATAGATATTCCGAAACAAATAAAAGTATACATACTTTCACTCATATTGATGTATACACCCATACATACGTGTAATCCTTAGTATAAATTAAGTACCATAAATAAAAGATATAAACATGTACAGATATATTACAGCATTCAGATACAGTACGAACTTTATGCATGAGAACCTGGCACAGCATAAATACAAAATTACATATTGAACATTCATATCACATACTCTGTTTTTAACATATTGAACTAGCTTATATAGACTTTTATGACTACTATCTTCCAGCGTCAGACGAGTAATTGCTAGTACAGTAGTCAATTATTGTTTTCAGTTTCCGCTGGGCAACTCTGTTACTTTGTAGATTCTGGAACCAATTTGGCCAGAATCTGGCTCCTAGTTGCTTGGGCCAGGGTTCGAATCCTGGAGAAGGCATGGATGTAAATTGTCTGTCCACTCACAGGAGGTAACAATAGCCGCATATTTAGGAGCCTCCACAATAAAATGGCCACCACTTCTGGTTTTAGGAGTGGCCAATGCTGAAAAAAGGCAAGTGCCAGCCATTCGATGAAAAAAAAGGTGTATTATCAAAGAAGGCAGCGCTAAAGCAAATAGGGAAACTCCTTGATGTTCCGTTTCCAAAGACACATTTGAGGAATATATTAAATATTCACACACAAAAGATCTGGCAAAATGAGTCGGACACAGCGACAACGGGTTGTCACACTCGTGAATTCTTTCGAAACGTGACCAACAAAATCAGAAGTACGCAAGGTTTCCTTATGCACTATTTGTCGGGCAATGCCCCATTCCCAGATTACTTCTGCAAGGGGATTCTAAAAGTACCGAATGCGGAGAATTGGATGATGCGGATCATTACGTTTTCAAATGTACAGTCACAGAAGAACTGCACCTGAAGGGATTCTCCAATATTGGCACTCCGTTAATAACACAGCGACACATCCTGCCAAAACAAAAAAAAAAGTATGAAAAAACTGAGCCATTATGGACATGAAATATGCCAGACAGAATAACGCAGAAATACCGAATACAATCAGCTTCACAATTACCGATGTACACTGTGCAAAAAAAAAAAAAAAAAAAAAAAAAAAAAAAAAAAAAAAGAGACAGTTCTATATCTCCCGTTCTACTAGGCCGATTGACAAAATTCAAATTGCGTTTTTTCATGTTTCGAAACCGCAGCTTTGGATATATATTAGATTTATATATAGCATTGTTCTAACATAGGTATTTGGACACAAAATCAGACGTTTTCTGAAATAACATACCAATGTTTTTCATATTTCGATTCTACGACTCAAATTATGCCTTGATATTAAATTTTGTAAAATTTGGTGTGAAATATACGAAGACATTTAACAATTTATCTTGGCGAAATGTTTTCAGTTTGAGCCAAGAATAATTCACTTGGCGAACTTCTTAGTATGTGGCAAACAAATTTCCTTTCCCATCCATTATGCCAGAGCGGAAAAAAATGCACCTTGTTCCTACCTTTTTACATTGTGCATGAGCGCAAAAAAAGTCATATCGTTCCTAATTTAAATTATTTTAGCAAAGTGTATAAATCATATTTGATGTTTTATCGCTTTCAACAAATAAGCCAAATTTCAAAACGCGCCAATATATAAATTCACGTATATCTTCGGAAATTTTCAATAAAAAACTGTAATTGTTTGAAAGTATGCGTAGAAATACGTCTACTTTAAGATGATGGTAAAAATTTTATAGATTATAATTCAAAATTGTTTTTGAAAAAAAATATAAAAATTATTTAAAATTACAAATTTAAAAAATAAATCATAAAAAAATGGGTGAATTTTATTTAAAATGAACCCGAATTTCGAAACGTGAAAGGCAGAATCAAATAAGCTTAGTAAAAAAAAGAGAGATTAAATCAATATATACCAAACTCAATTAACACTGAGGAGCTAAAATTTTGAGAGGTAGCTTTTAAAAACTTCTCTTGCGATTTTTACAAAACTTGGTAATTTGAGTCATAGAATTGAAAGATGGGATAACGTGGTATGCTATTTCAAAAAATATTCGATTTTGTGTCAAAATACCGATATTAGAACAATGCTATATATAAATTTCGTACATATCCTAAGTCGCACTTTCTAGACATGAAAAACGCAAGTTGAATTTCGTCAATCGGTCCAGTAAACCGGAAATACAGAACTGTTCCTTTTTTTTTTGCACAGTGTACCTACACCGATTGAAATCACATTCGGCATAGATACACAATGTACCTATACCGAATGTAATCAGCTCCACAATGTACCTAACAAAATAACAGGCCGTACAACTGCACGATTCAATAAATCAGTAATTTTCTCAGAGCATTATATACTATGGAACACATCGTACAGCAAAACCCCCAACAAAAGCCTATTACCTCTTCCATTCAACTCAGCAATGGCTCCATGGTGGAGTTAATTTTAAACATGGTTATTGCTCTTGGGAGTTACCTGTGTAATCCATGGTGAAGTTTCTTTACTACCTATTTACTACCTACCTACTGTACAGTTATTTCAAAATGCATTTCAAACCGAAATATTTATTTTCTATGTTATTATCCAGTTGCCCTGATACAACTACGTTACCTAAAAATATAAATTTAAACTTTTGAGAACTAAAGAAAGGGGGAAAGAAGCGGGTATTTTAAATTCAGAAAAAGTTTAAATAAATTTGTGTGACTTCATATTTTGAAATAATGCTATGTTCGCGGCAAACAACGACGGTTGTTATAAATATTGTGAAATATAAAGCTACTCAGATATAGTAGAACTTCATCCTAATTATATAAGTGTATACATACACACACATATGTATATAGTTTGTGTTTTGAGTAAAGCTGGAAATGTAAATTCTTTTAGAATACTTTCAAAAGCTTTTTTGTTCTATAAAACTAGAGTTAGGCTCTTGGGTCAGATTTCAAATCAAAACAAAGGCATTAAAGAAGTTAAATATGCATATTTTTGTATACTTGCCAGCATACTTTTCTTACGCAATAGAATGTAACGAAGACGACGAAAAACAGAAATTGGACTATATCATTCTTAATTAGTGCAATGCATTTCAGTTTATAATGGGCTAATACAAACAACAAGAATAGTTCTAAAGAGTTCGTGAATTCATAAAAGAAGCTTGATTTGGAATCTTTTGAACATCAGAACTAACCTAAACAATCTGTAAAGTAATCTGTATACTAATTAAATTTTAACTTAACAGCAATTTACATTATTTTTAATAATGCGATTAAGAAATGTACATGACAGTTTACAGCAACAAAGACCATTCATGAGTCAATTTTCTGAGAACCTTTGATTACATTATTTAATTGAGGTTCTACTGCAGTTGAAATCACGAAAAATTAACAATATTTTCTTTGCAGTTAGAACTAGAAAATGAGTAACCTTGTATGGTTATTTTTCAAGGAAGAGGAAGTAATATTATGCAGTGTAAAAAAATAATCAAATTTATTGCAAATATATCTTCTTAGGTTTTTGTGAAGGTAAAGGTTTCCGAGTGCCAGTCGGATCAGTTGGTTACAATGACAGGCAATGTACGAAAATTATTTGCAGTGACGGATACATAGACGTCACAGGGTAAGTTTAACTTTCTTTCTAATTATTACAGAAAATATTCTTGAAACTGTGATGCATTTAAGAGTTTCCTGGGATTGTATACAACTTGACATTCCTGAAGACTTGGGGTTACATATACCCTGGTTAGGAAAATTAACCGTAAAGTATGATTAAAGTATAATCTCCCCTAGAAGTAATACAACAAACACAGCTATGCGCGATGCTGTCAATTATGCAGCCTATCAGTTCCATAGGAAGTGAGAGCCATTGCTCTTGCAAAGCAGTTTCAAGCGTGGCAAGGGTCTGAAGAGGAGGATTGAAAGCAGCTATACGTCTTCCTAAAGCATCTCAAACATGCTCGATAGGATTCAAGTAAAGTGATCGAGCAGGTCATTCCATGGGCTGAATTGTTTTCTGTTGAAGATAACCATACAGGATGCGAGCCCTGTGCGGTCTAGGGTTGTCGTCACATAAACAACAAGGATGTCATCTCTATAGGCCTGGCCATTCATGGTGCCACGTGAGAAGACGTGGAGATCTGTGCGTCCACCCAAAGAGCTACCACCCAGACACAGACACTGCCTCCTCAGTATGCATCTCTTTCACGGATATCTGATGGATGATTCCAAGTTCGGATATCTGATGGACACGTTCCAAGTTCTCTCCAAGTTAAATAACACCTACTATCGCTTTGGAGACTAAACTTGGACTCATCTCTAAAGAAAATAGATCTCCGTTAATCAGCTGTCCAGTGGATATGTTGACGTGCTCACCTCAAACGTTCTCTTTTATGACGCGACGCGAGAGGCACGCAGATGGCTGGTCGCCTCACTAATAGACTTCCTTCAAGCCTTCTTCACACGACTGACGTTGACACCAACCTTCTAGTGGCTGCAGCAAAGAAGGATCTCAGTTGAGTCGGAATTAAGGTTCTGTTCCTTCGTGCGCGCATAACAAAGAATATCGATCACTATCGCTCGTCGTAGCCATCGGCTGCCCTTGGCTGAACCTCCTGAATCCTCTGCGATTAGAAATTGACAAAGTCTATGAACCACAGGACTCACATTTTGTCATCTGGCCACTTCTATGGGACTTTGTCTTGCCTCTAGTCTCCCAGTAGCTCTCCCAGTATCACAGTTCTTCGAGTAAATGATGCCTGGAGTTCATTTTTACAAATTGGCTATCCCAGATTCCTTATCTCAATATCACAGCGAAATATGCAGGCTTGCTCTGAAACATGCAATTTTATGCTCCTCGGAGAGGACGTATTTCGATTGCAGCGTCACTAATTTGCATACTGCAGTTTTAGTCAGCAATTCGTTTTAACAACATATTCAAATCTCATACGTTTGGCCTATTTTGAAACGAGTTATTGTTATTTTTGCGACTTTTCCTTTTCGAAACCATGTATTTAGAAACGACTGACAAATCTAAACACTATATCATAGGATGAGGACAGTTTATGCATATCTTACCTATTTCATATTTTGAAATATGTATATAAATATAAATAGCAGAATTCGAAGGAATGTTTATAATTCTTGCTGTTGGGAGAGGGGGAAATGTTGTTGGGATTTTATAATTAGCAACAATTTCCAGAATTTTCCGACCTATCAGATGCCGCAAGATTCGGCAATTTTTAGTTTGATTGTAGAATAAGGAATTGAGCGAAAAATGTTCCATAATCACTTGAATATTAAATAGAAAAAAACCACACTTAAGTTTTAAAAAATATTTCAAATATTGTACTTCCATGTCAAATTTTCTTTACATGTAATACCAGTGTAATCATAAATTAGCTCTAAAAATGTAGATATACTAATAAAACAGAAAACAAAATAGGTATAAATCTTTATTCCTTTTGCTTGGTAAATAAACTTTAGTCATTTGCAAGAGAAACTATCGGATTTCCTGAAGACATTGACACGAACTTTTGAGGAGTGAACAAGCCTGTGGACAAAAGAATAGTAGATATGGCATTTTGCAATCATCCGAAACTCCAAGAATAGGAAATATAAATTGGTGTTAGAGCCAGGATTATTTTCAACCGTTTATGGGCAAGCATATTTGAAAGTATTATTCATGAGGTTTGAAGCAATCTACAGCAGACAGAAATCACGTAGTCGGTCATAAAGTTGTACATATTTATGCACATAGGTAATTGCATGGCCTATTGGTAGAAATTAGGGCGATGACCAACTGATGCAATGTAATGCCACCATTAACACCGATTGGGTAAAATGGCACTAGAATAAGCAGAAGCATTACATATATCAAACTCAGCAAAATTTATGTCTGTGACAAGAAAAACGTTTGAAGTGGTAAGGAAGTGGTAAAGGTTTGAAGTGGTGCTGGATTTAAAATCTGACATAACCCCTCTTCAACCAATTTTGTTAAATGATAACAGTGATATGGGGGATGTATGTTGCTCGCCTTCTGGAATTTGAACTGCGGAGTTTCTGCAGTTTGTATTCCATTAAAACACTTTTCTCATGGAACGTAAAATCGCGCAGCATTTTTCTCGTTTTGTACTATATTTTCGGGCAACTGTTTTTAAAATGTTTTATTACTTCAACAAGGTAGATTACTCCCATACAGAGTTTTTGCCCATATACGTTTCATCCATGTCTTGTGACTGATATTTGTGCTTCTTCTCCACTAATATGTGTACCGCAACATGCGGATAAACCATTTGCTTAGTCGTACCACATATATGCATTACTAAATAACATTGCCTATTATCTACGGATTATGCTCTTTGTCGCACTATTCAAGAAGAGTCATTTAAATATGACATGCATGGTACTTGTAAAAAAATTCTGCACATTATATAATGGAGTTGTAGTAACTTACAGATACATTATGTTTGCCACTTGATGGTTGCAAATACTGAGGCTGCAATTATCGCGTGCCACTTCATATGCTGTATTTTGGGAGTTTCGGGATGAACTCTATTTTATTCGTTTCGGGTCTTTGCGAAATGCTTTTCACATATGTCGTTTTGTTTAATATTTGATCACCACCGACAGTTCACTGACAATCACTACTACAAGTTTCGTGGAGATTGTCTCCCAGACGTCTGATAGTTCTGTTTAGGGAAAAGAAACACATTCTTGAAAATTATTAAACTAATGCTGCCATAAGTGTATTAAGAATAAGTATATTAAGATTATTTATATAACGACAAAGCCCTTGAGGGCTATCTGAGGATCGGTAACTTCGCGGGGAACTTCGAGGGACTTTTTAAAAGAAACTGACATATATTCACTTTAAGCACGGGGATTTAAATTTATTAGATTATGGCAAAGCATATTAAAGCATTCTACTAAGAAAATGGATGGCTTCGTGGAGAGTATTCTGAGGAAACCTGGTTCGCATTTATGTTACACAAAGGAGAAAAACTATGAAAATTCTACTCAGCCAGCCCTTTCACCGGGTACGGCATAAGGACTAGACTACCTTTGTTATGAACTTTCTAAGAGCAATAAGCTCATATTGAGGTTACACATAGAATTACACATCAAGTTTCCACGAAAACCAACCATGGATGGAGTTTGTTCGCTTGACTTGAAACTCGGGCAGAAATTTCTGTATTCTGTTTTTAATAGCTTGGCCGCTGACGAGGTTTAAGAAGTACACTTTTGCGTAAGAAGTACATACAATAAGGTACACTTTTGCATTAAGACACTTTTGGTTACGTGATATTTTGAGTAAAAGAATCCAAAATTTAAATTTTTGTACCTAGCATCTCCTAAGAACATTCTGATTAGACTTGCTCCTTATCTTGCTAAAAGTTGTTGAGAAAAATCTCTAGACCGTAATACCTAAATCTGGCACTAAATTATACGAATTAGACTGATCAAAATTATATAAATTAAATCATTTTCGCATTAAAAAAGATAGAACTAGAATTTAATTTCATTCCTTACAAGAGTTTGAATTTGAGCATAAATTAATGTCTGTTAATGCAAAATTCTTATTTTAGAAATTCGAATCTGAAACATAACTTCAAGAAATATTTATAACAGTTTTTGGCTACAGCCTCCAAAAAATGTAATTAATATATTTTGGGCAATTTTGACTCTATCAATGTGTTTTACCTTTCAACATTGTTTACAGTAAGCACTTTTCTTGTTGATATTTTTAAGGGTCTCATATAAAAATTTAAATTTTCTACATTTTTATCCAAAGACATTACTAACAAATATGATCGCTGAAGATTTGCCTTGTTTAATTCATTTGTTTTACAAACCTATGAATTTACTAACCCCTTTACAGAGGTATTTAGATATCTGAAACATCACACATACCATTAGTTTTAAAACAAAGTTAAATATAATATAAGTGAAATTTTAGTTTTCATTCTGTTATTTATTACACTCGTAATGTAGAAAAAGAAATACAATTATATTAAACTGTGCCTATTGAAAAAAGATAGAATAATACAAAAAAGAAAAAGAAAAGAAAATCTGAAAGGATTCGGATTTTAACGTCATACCAGAGGGTTTGTAAAAGTTTTTATGCGCAATCTGAGCTCGCTCTAACAATCTACTATTGGACTCACTTCTGCTAACAAATTGTTTTATATTTTCAAATCTATTATAATACATCAAATATTAAACAAAATCGTGATAATTGCATTTTATGTGTACCTACGCCACGTTAAGTTTAGAAGTAAAATAAAGAATTTTAAAAGCAGTACATGTTTTTATAATTTATGATAGAATGTTAAGCGGTGACACATATTTTTCTACTTTTTTAAATCTTTTCTCAATTTATCATATTACTTCTTAGCTTTCTTAAAAAGATGACTTATACAATTCTTTTTAAATCTTTTTAAATTTTGTTATTAAACATCACTTTCTTCGAACTTACGCCGCAAAAAATTCAACAGCAAAATCAAAAATTATTTAAAAATAGCAGATCTATAGAATTCTCGATAAAGTATGGCCATATATTGTTTTTTATATTCGCTATATTTTTTCTTTAAAAGTAACATATGGCGATTACATTTGGTGGCAGAATCTTTTTATTTGAAAATTAATAAGGCATAAAAATGATTCGGGCGGCAAAGCGATGATTGATACTAACAGCACATTTGTTGCTAATTATAAATAATGAAATATTCGAATAGTTATTTCAAGCATCTTCAAAATTTTGAATGCTTCAATTTTGTCTTTTAATGTGTAATCAAAATTTTTTTCAAATGCTTTTTTATTATAATTGTCTTCATAGAGCATGCTACTCTTTTAACATATTATTTTGCAATACTTTAAACGTAAATCTAAATAATGAGAAGATACATTACTCCCTTTGTAGGAATTGTTTAAATTTTCTAATAACTATTTTTAATTTTAAAACCCTTTTAAACTCCTTCCTTTAAATTCTTGTTTGCCACCTACAAGTCCCTGTCAGAATGGGATTTTAATATTGTGTTTTATATAAATGAAGTACGGCCAGTATTTAATGGGAAGTTTAGTCAGCAGAAGAGCTCAGTAAAGCGTGTTCTACCTTTGGGCCACATCGTTGCTTTAAACCTAGCTTACTACGTTCGACCGTAGTCTTACGTGCCTGTTAGTATTCAATTGTGAAGTTTAATTATGGGCCAACTCAGTTAATTATTTTTGTAATGTCCGAGATGGGCCGTCTATAATATTTCTTTGAGTGAATAAGAAAATATTTTAATTCTTCTTTGGGCTTATATTCTACAGTTGTAAGAAGTCTTTACTAAAATTCTAGTAGGCAAGGACACGTAAATTAACTAGAATTTTATACTTTCAATTTACGTTTCTATGCTGGTAATAATTTTAACATTTCCGACTTATGAGCGATATTGGAAATATATTTTAGTTGATTCGTATAAAGACTTCTTTCGAAATGCACATAAAACTTGAAAAAATAATAATTCTTTCCATGTAACTTTATTTTTCACAAAAAAACGATATTTCGAAACAATAATGGATAAGCCTAAAATAATTTTAAAGTAAAATTCTCATTAAAAAAGTACAGAATGTAATGATTATTTGAAAATATTTTCAGAAACATTTATAATATGATAAGATGAAGTAAAATATAGCATTAAAACAACTGCCATATGTTCTTTACTTTAAATTATTTTTGCAAATAAACAGTAAATAATAATCAAATTTCCAATTTTTTTACTTACTTATCTTTACTTTCTTTTAAGGTGCGGAACAATATCTGGCCCTCCTAACTGTCGCCTTCACAGACCTAAAGGACATTATCCCAGCTGTTGCCCGAAAATTGTGTGTGACTGAATACATTATACTGAAGTCATAAAAACTGCATATTTTCTTCATTTCTGTTTGAATAAACTTCCATATTTTATCTTCATAAGTCTATCTTTTAAAATTTTCACATTTCCAGCAAATTTCCAAAACGTTTATTTGCTGATGGTTAAAAAGGAATACGGCTGTCACTGATGTTTCGATTCAGCCGTCAGGAAAGAGCGGTTCAGTTTATCTCTGATCGATTTAAGGCTATAAAAAATTCACGAAAGTTTTAAGTTGTTGGATTCCACAAACTGGACCGGAATGTATGCGTGTCGGTATGCTTCTGATGATACAAAGCGTGAGAGTGATAGATGCATAAAATAACAAAGTAATGCATAGAGAGAGAGAGAGGAATTTCTTTCATATATTTAAGAATTAATTCATTTAAAATTTTTAAATTTCTCATCCCATTCTTTGAATTTTGAACTGGATTCACTCAAATATTCAAAAGAGACGAAATGCAATTATTTTCCCTAATTATTTATGAAACGACTAGTGGCATTAACAATAATTAATTTAAATTTTTTTTTTATTTTTAAGTCAAATACATTTTATTTCTTTTTACTAAGTTTTAATTTCCCTGTAGTTTAATTTCATTTTCGTAAGGAAGTTCTGTTTTAATTAGTTTCCTCAAACAATAGTTTTTACGCTGCCTAGGGGATAACCGACACTAATAATTAAAATTCATATATATATCTATTTAGAAGAGTATATGAAAAGTATTTTACTTACATTCTTCTAAATAATACCATGATAGTGGAAACTTATTAGTGATTATTAAACTTGTATCCAGATTTTAAAACGTTTCCCATACCTACATATGTGTCAGCTATATTGCCTGCAGATAGATCATTAGAAGTGCTGATACAGCTGCAGTAACCTATATGTGTTTTACGGAGAACAAAGCTCAAAAGTCCAAATGACTTAATTTGTATGGCTGTAATTGAGCTGTACTCGAAGAAAGGGGCACTGTAGTTCGGATGCTCAACGTAGGAAGATGAGAAATATGAAAAATAAATTTTGCCCTCGCTCGGACTGGAGCCATGTACTTTTCAGCATTAACTGAATGTGCTAACTGCTCATACTGAGAGAATACGAAAGGGGAATGTGATAATAAAAATTTTTATACGTTTAATACTTGTTTCTACAGTTATGGAAAACGTATTGTTTATCATATAAAGATCAATGAAATTTCAGTATCTATTAAGTCTATGTAGCCCATTTGAGTCTATAGTTGCTCTGATCATGTTTCAAACAGCGTGAAACGAAGTAAACTATATTTTTGATAAAATATAATTTACTCATACAATATAATTCCTTGAGAAAAGCATATAATTCATAAGAAGAAGATCAGCTAACTTAAGAAGCTCTAAATAAAATATTGCCGTTACAAATATTTGAGACGTAATATCGTCCTTTTAGTATCCTTTCGTTCATAAAAACCTGTGTTTTGATTGCTACTCTTGTTTAGAACAAATTTCCAAAACTGTACTGCATAAATCATTTACACAGTCAATGAATATTCCCTCTGCTAAGAATAAAGGTAAAATATATACCGTAAATCTCGATCGTCGAATAAGTCGATTTTTCAAAGTACCCATTTTTACTTAAAATTCTGTTCTGTAAATCTGTCAGGGAAACTCTCTGTCATATTTACATTAAATGTCAAATTCCCCTCCCCCCAAACACTCATTCAACCCTCTTGTTTGTCCGGATATGAACGCGGATCAAACTAACATCTCAACAAAATAAGTCGTATACCGAATGGCGAAGAAACTTCGTGTGTCATAAATGTAATTTGCAATTTTCACATTAGACTAGTCAAAGCAGTTTGAAAAGTTTGCATATTTTCATTAAATATAAATTATTTAAGGTATTAATAGTTAGAAAAAAATAAACTACTATCCAATACATTTTAATGCATTTAAAAGCAATCTTTAAAATAAGCAAATTCGTGAATTTGTAGTAAGTACTGATTAAGTGCAGTTTAAAAGAAGTTAATAAAATCGTCATAAGTTAACTTATCAGGACTGCTATTTCGTCTAATTGATTTGGCAAACATGTTAATTTTCCTGATGAAGAACAGTGAGTTTACTTTAAACTATGTTCGTTGAAATTGTAGAAGATACGACACAGATGGAAAGGGTTAAATTACCCTTTATTCTTCACAGTTCATAGCCGCTCCCGCACTTCGGGATGCAAAGACCAGTACTTGTGGTCTGAACGTAAAAATAAAAACTACAAACTAACTAAATTAAGTAAGAACTAAACTCAAATGCTTTACAAAGATTATTAACGCGAAGATTGGCCTTTTAATCTTTACGTATGTAGCACGCAGAATGCGAGAAAACTACAATACATCTTCAGTATCAAGAGGAGTAAATTTCTGGCCTTAAAGGCGGACAGCAACTGACTGAAAAGCGTGCGTGAAGTAAGATGGCGAGAAGTGCCTTTCTAACCTAAAAGCCACAACTTAAATACCTAACAGTTTGCAAGCTCAATTTGCGTACTAAAACTAACCGCGTTTGTTCTGGCCGGAAGTGGAAAATAAGAGAGGATAGTGAAATTTTAAAATAAAATAAACGTTAGTAAAACTTAAAATCCTTATAAACTAAAGCTTTTATTTCGACTGTTCTTCATTTATCAAATATTAACTTTTCCTGTTCATGATTTTTGTACAAGAATTTGATAACTATATGTAAATTTATTCTGAAAAGATAAATGTGATCTTTACTGGTCAACAGGAAATGTACATAAAGATATAACAAGAGAATAAAAAGTAAAAACAATAAAGAAAATTACAGCAAGAAAAAATAAAGAAAGAAAAAGAAATTCTGTACAGTGATAGAATTTTAAGATAAACATAGAAGTATTCCTGAAAAGATATTAAAGAAACGATAAAGTTTCGTTACTTCCAAGTTGTCAAAAGAGATCTGCGAAAGGTACAGACACATAATGCCACACTCAAGGAATACCTTTCATTTATTTTTTCCTTAAAAGCAGTTTTCACTCTCTTTTACTTCTTTGAAAATTTCTTTTCCCGTTGGTCATAACGGAAAAAATAATATTATTTCAAAGACGTAAGAAACGGAATTCATTCTTCCTTATTTTTTATATTATTTATGCTTTGTTTTAAATAAAAGTAAAATACAGATTCGTAGAACATTCTATTTTGTCATCACGTTCTTCAGCTGAAGAAAAGAAGAAGATGTTTTACCTAGAATATTATGCCAAAACATAAAATGATGAACAGGTTTTCTAAAAATATGAATAAATCAAGATTTTTTTGGCTTACGGTATGTCTAAGTTTAGCATGCGCGTTTTGTTTAGAGCTCAGACGAATTCATCGAAGATGACGAGAAGAAACAGTGGAGAGATGTAAATTATGGTTTGGCTATTAGCCCCAAGTCTTTGCTAATACTCTGTTCATTCTTTTAATGAAAGCTTAATTTTAATTGTCATGAATACTGCTTTTACAATAATGCAAAAAGCTGAATTAGCCATTGAACAAAATAAACCCGGGAAGGGATCCCAACACAAATTTCTCGTTGCCCATTCTACCATGGAATAAAGCAACTACAACCAGAACCAAGAGAGAAGAAATTAAAAAACATTATACTGTAAGTGTAGGTGAGGGAAGGAGAACAAAAACGTCTTAAAAGTGCTTAAAAGTCTTAATCCAGCCTTGATAATGCAATTATATATAATGATGTTTCTTCATCATCTGTTCATGAAATGCATATTCACTCAGTGTTACAAAGTTAAAACGCTATTTATCTAGAAATTTGGATTAAAATAATATAACACTTTAAGTTTTCAGTTATTGATGTTTTTTGTATTTCCTTCAGATGTTCCAAAGCGTTCTCCTCTTCATAGTAGAATTACTATGAATTGTAAATTGTCTTCCGTAAATTCCAGTTGCTTAACTTTCTTTAATTAAATTAACATTGTGAGTTTTTATTAATGATAATAAACTGAAGAAGAATTAAAATGCAAAATTAAACCGATATATTATTTAGTTTGGTTGTACAACATAAAAGTTGCAACTTGTAGAATGACTAGAATGCCATTACGTTTCAGAGAGAACTATTTAAAATATATATAATATATTTAGCATCCTTAAATCGCAAACTATGTTTCCATCTGAATTATCGACGCAACTACACACTTTAAATTTGTACTTCTCAAAACAGCAATAAATATTAACAACATCGCATTTAAACCAAACCTCAGAACATTATAAATATTTTCACTTTTGCTATCCTTCATAAGCTTCGTCCGGCTTTAAAAGTTTTGGATTTTTAATTTAATTTATACAACGATATTATTTTTGAATAATTAGGTACTGGAGAAATAAAAAGAATAACAGGTTTGGACGATAGAATTTTTTAAAACAAATTTATGCGAAATAAAACAAATGCATTTATATGTGATGAAATATAGTTTAAATTAGACAACTATTACATATTTTAGGAAAACTCAGAGGAAAACACTTTTAGTTTTGATTGCTTAAATAACGCCTTCATAGATGGATTTGTACTAAGTAAAAACGAATATCCCTAATTTTAAAATTGTCTTAATCTCTGATTTCGAATAAAAAGCTTCAATGTGTTTCGATATAAGAATGAAAAAGGGGAAGGAAAACGATGAAACCATTCGAAACCTCTTCTTAAGGAGGAAACCATTCGAAACCTCTTCTTAAGGATAAAACCATTCGAAAAGATTGGACAATTCATAAAAGGAAAAAAGACATATTTCTTCTTTATTCTTTACATAGTTATTTGCATAATCTGAAATCGCAGTGCTTATTGCAGTCAGTGACATATTTGTAACAGAGAAAGAAACTTGAAAATCAAAATATCCCTCATTCGAAATACATGATAAATGCTACATCTATTCTGTTAGTTTAAATTTGAATGCTGATGAAAGTTACAAGCATACATTTGGTAAAAATATATAAATACTAGAGCTCATTTTTTTAAAATCTGGTTAAATTCGGTTACCGGATTAAGGCAAAGGATTTGAAAGCCATCTGCCTAAGGGCAGGGATGCCTTCGTAGA